CAATGCTGCTCACGTGCCGATCACATGCTCGCGCGCATCATCTCCTAATGCGCGCCACTCGCTCATTAGCCGTGCGCCACTTACGTCGACGCCGACCAACCGCGACTGCTCGCCCGATGGTCTTGGCTCGTCCCATGGGTCCCAACCTTCCAACCTAATGCAGTCTCCAGCACGCCAGATCCAACCATCTTCCATCCTTTGCCTACCACGCCTTCGAACCTCTGAACGCCATGACCGTTTCTTCCTCGCACACGGCCCACAACAATGGCTTGCCTTTTGCGCCTTTGATTTGCATCTCTTCTTGCGTTTCCTTGAATTAGACCTTGGACCACATCCTCTCGGCCAATCTCTCTTGCACGAAGGTCGATAAATCGGGCGTGAAGGCTCCTTGAGCATGTTCTCCGACCACATGTCGAGATCTTCGACCATTCCATCGCTCGATTCACCGGGGTTGATGACCACTTCCGTATCAACTGGCTGCTCCGTGCGTGCTGCCAATCCCTGTGGCCTGCTCGCCCACCGTGCATCTACGTGCATCCTGCTCCGTCCAACCGCGCGCATCATGGGCCGATGCGCGCCATTCGCCCATTAGCCGATCTCCTTCGACCCCTTTGGTGCTGCTCGACTCCGTCGGCTCATGCCACGGTTCCCAACCTTCCACGTACCTACCATCCGTTCCCGTGAAATCTCCGGCACGTCATGTCCAACCGTCCTCCATCCTTTGCTTACCTCGCCTTCGAGCCTCCATCTTCCATGCTCGATTCTTTCTGGCACAAGGCCCAGAACAATGATTCGCCTTCTTGCGTCGTCTCTTGGACTTGCGTTTCCTAGCCTTCAGCTTTAACCTTGGACCACATCCTTTTGGCCAATCTCTCTTGCACGAAGGCCGATAAATCGGACTTGAAGACTCCTCGAGCATGTTCTCTAACCATATGTCGAGATCTTCGACCATTCCATCGCTCGACTCACCGGGGTTGATGACCACTTCCGTATCATGCGGAGAACAGGCCGAGCGCGAGGGGCGCGCCAGTGGGCAGCACGTTGGCGGAAGCCTAGGCCTTGCGGGCCTAGGAATGGCGAGCGTGCAAAAGCACGCGCGCGGGGGAGACAGCGGGCGCACGGCACGCACGATGGCGCACGAGTGGGCCGCATATGCGGGCGAAGGCCTAAGCCGTGTAGGCTTAGGCGAGAAGGGCGGCGCTGACGCGAGAGGAAGCCGCGACCGAGCGGGCATAGGAGAGTTGGGTGCGCAGTGCCATGCGCGAGAGGAAGGCGGCGCAGGTGAGGCGCGCGCGTGCGCGGGAGACGCGAGCGAAGCCGCGCCCGACGAGGACTAGGCCTCGCTTGCAGCGCGCGCAAGGGCGGTCGGACTTAGGTTTGGCCGAGCTACTTGGAGTGCAAGGCAAGGGATTTTGGTGATCAAGTTTAGCTTAAATTAGGACTCTAGTATATTTACTTTCCTTATTGCTTTAGAAGATCTAATATGTTTAGGATTTAATATTTTATTGCTTTAATTAGTGATCTAGTTGGAGTAGGATTAAAGTAATTTAGGATCTATAAATAGGGGTCTTTCCTCATTGTTTTTCATGTTCAGATTTGATGAGTTGAATAGAAAAGAACGTTGTGTTCATTCGTGTGTCTAAGCAGGGCCATGAGTGTGTGTTTATCATACAACCGTGTCTAAGAGAAGTCCCTAAGAGCGTCTTGAAGTCACACTAATCGTGTATAGTCAAAGGCCCCGAGTGTGCGATTATCCACAAGCAGTAGGCAAAATCACGATCCCTCATCACCAGTGCCCACAGCGTGTAGCAAGCGTAGGCAGCGCCCGGAGCGCCTAGCCGTCTTGCAGAACGTGCATAGGCCGTCAACCAGTGGTGCCCAACGCATGCTAG